GGGTTAAAGGGACTTTTCTATTTCTTCCTTATACTTTTTGGTATTTTCTAAAGGACAGTACATTTTGTAGGTAGGTATTACTTTTGTAATCCAACAAGAAAGGACACGGTTCTGTTTGCCAGGATTTCTGCAATAGTAGTAACTGATGCTAGGCACTGTCCAAAGGCTTCTACCATCAGGCTTCTTCTTCTCCAGGTGACTTCTGTGTGGATCCTTTCTCTCAGCTGAATTTTCTATACAGGATACCTATTTTGGCTTTGACAAGACTGCTCTTTTATGTGGAACTTGTCAATATTTGGAAATAGCCCTGTCAGAACTGTGAATCAAGATACTGTACTTCTTTCTCCTGGTTATCAGGGCTAAGAGCTCCCAACAGAATTTTCCGAGTGTAAAGGCTCCAGAGTCTATCTGAGCCTGGACTCCAGGGGGAGAGAGTCTAGACTAGAGGATGCTGATTTTGTCCAGCAGGGTGTGATGACAAGAACATAGATTTGGAATTACATGGCTATAGAACTGCAGAGGTTTTTTTCTCTGCAAACCGATGCTCATATTTCTTTTATTGAGTTATTTTAAGGATTTAAAAAATGTATGTAGAGGGCCTAGCATAGTGCACACAAATTATTAGTGGTAAGAACTGGAGAAGGCAGCAGAGTGGACAGCTCTCCCACCTCCACCCCTACCCATAACACAGTGAAGTTTTCCAAAGTGTATGTGGAGTAAGGATAGAAGGGAGGAGCTGTCCAGATCTTAACCCCGCCCTGACTGGGCTGGCCTGACCAAGGACAGACACATCTTTGGTCTCACCATGGAAATATAACCACCACTTCTGGGCTGGGCGATGGGCAGTGCTAGCCACAGGCCAGCAGCCAAAAGTATGGGGTGAGGGGCAACCCCAGAATGCCCATGGATAATACCAAATATGACTCCATTACCACTCTGAAATCACTGCATTAGTGATCCAGACTGCCTCTTCCTCCACCCACAGCCACTCTGCCCTTTAACTATTCATCAGGCAGTAAGAAGCGTGCCAGAGACTTACAGGAAATACAGGGAATCATGCTGTACCTTGTGAGGGGTGGACATATTCCATCTTTGCTGTACTACTACTTCATCTGCTGCTGTTTTTACTAGAACTGCTATCAGCACCACCATTTCTACAACTGCTGCTGCTATTACTATTAATTAAGTTTGTAAACTACGATTTTCAAAGTGCCTGGGTTTTGCCTGATGAAAGATAATAGTGGACATGGCATTATGGGAAGGCAGGCTGGCACTGAAACCTCAAAGGGAACAGCCGATCTGTACTCAGGAACAGAGCAGGATTATCAATATATAAATTTTTTCATGCCCCAACTGCCTGGACTCCAGCCGCATCCCCAGCCACACCTAGTCCCTCTCCCAGCCCCACTCAGCTCCAATGTCTGTAGCTAATTTAGGCAATTTCAAGGGTTAATGGACTTTTGTTTGGTCAGAGGAGCCGGACCATGCCCAAATCCCACCAAATGGGGAGGGAGAAGAGGAGAAAATGCATCTAACATGTAAGGCCACTGGCTCTGTCAGCATCTCCCACCTTCTAAGAGGATGGCTCTGGAAAGACCCAGTCTCTTCCCTAATTTTTAGAGACTTTAAATTTTCCTGTGCCAAAGTTACATGTTTCGATAATGCTTGACTTGGCCCGCAATCCCCAAAGTGAACTGGGGAATGCATACCTCACCTTCTCATCCCAGTAGAAGGGCTTCCTTTCTCCGAACACCTAGCAGCCAGCTGGTGTGCGGACCAACACTACACGGAGTGAGGAGGCGGGAGGGAGGGAGGAGAGCGAGAATGTAGCCCAGCCCAGCCCAACCTGGAACTAGGCTCCCTTAGAGACCACCCTCTTCACCTGGCAACCGGGCCCCAGCAGGGCTCCGAGAGAAGAAAGTGGCATCTTGGAATCCATTTTGCTCAAGACGTTGAAGGCATCTTGGCAAACTTCCCTTTGCTGCTACTGCCTTTGCTACTGGGGCCAAGTGAACTTGGGGAAGGGCCTCAGCCATAGGGATGCGGTTATTTGGGGAGGAGGTGAGTGAGGGCCAACTCTGGTGCCAATGGTACCTGCCGAGAGAGAGCAGTCGCTGGGCGTATCGTGGGCGCGGGTGGCCCACCCTGGCGCTGCTGCCCGCATCGGACCCACGTCTGCTGGGGAGTGATAGTAGCAGCAGCCGCCGCCAGGCCAGCTGGGATCCCTTCTGTCTCTGTCCAGTTATTTATAGGCGCGATTTACGATGGGTGCGGGGGAAGGGACGCGGGATGACAATGAGTTTTGGAAGGTATAATTCTAAAAGTCACACTTTTCCCAAAGCGCCCCCCTCCCAGGTTCTTCCTCCCAGAGCAGCACGGTCCCAGCGGGACAGTGTGCATCGCGGGCGCCGCAGTGGTCCGGTTGCAAAAAGCTGGGGCCGCGGAATGGGGGCCGGGGGGGGGGGAAGGCGGGGGGGGGGAGAGGGTTGGGGGGGGGGGGGGCGGGGGGGTTC